ACAGCTACTTCCTACTTTCTACAAAAAAATGATATACTCTCTCTCCCACCTTCTATAATTTACCCTGGATGCCTTTCTAAAAAGCCTGCTCTCATTCAGTCAGAAGCATGGTTTGTATTATGCAAAATGTCAGACTGGATAATCAAAATAGTCTCTTCTGGCGTTAAAAATCTGTGCGTCTTTACAGCCGCTGCCATTAGCAACAAGGAAAAGTCAGCTAGCTCAAGACCGGCAAACTGAGTTTGATAGTCTCCTACAAACAGAGCAAATTCCCTTTCTAATTCTATTATTCACTCCTTTATTGTGTGGTTTGGTGTTAGTTGGAAGGGAAGTATCGCAGTTAGTTGTTAGCTGGAAGGGAGGCAGTTCTTTATAAGCAGGCAGTATTAAATCAGGCCTGATCAGAAATTACTAAGTGGAAAATTTTCTTCCAGTCTCAGAAGACCACACTCTTCTCCAAAACAGCATCTCACAGGAAAACCTGTCACCTGTCTTGTTTTAGGACAGAATTTTTGGACACAACAAGTATTTCAACTTAGAGAAAAACCCTCCTAGGTTAGGCATGGGGGACCTTTCCTACCTGGACCGGTCTCAGTCTTAGGGTCTTATGGGTGTGTGCTTCAGGCACCGAATTAGTGAGCAATATTATAAGTGTTGAGTGGCTCCTGTAGTAGATTTGAAGACTATTATCCTGAAAATATTATTTAAGTCCTTAGAAACAAGAATGGTGGATTCTTGGACACTTTCAAGAAACAACATACTGTATTCAGATTATTTAATTTAAAAACTCTGGCAGCCTGTTAATCAGTGCTGAGAAAATGCTAAAAACTTCAGAGCCACACTCCCAAATGCAGGCATGTTGATTGCATTGGCAAAACCCACAGCTGCCTGGAAAAAATGGGGGGGTCTCACTGCTGTACAAGTCACACGTGTAACTTATACTTGCAGTGTAGGTTGCTACATTTACCAGTTAGGCCCTCAGTGGACAGTTGCCTGGAAATCTGGCCTGTCCCCTTTGGGAGCAGAAGCAGAACAGAAAACTACCTTATTTTGTGAATGTTCTGTACCTACTGCACTGGAGCCCTCATCTCACCTGGGGCCTCTCAACACTACCTGAATTGCAAACAATAAATACATAGCCACCATTTATTCATAATTTTAGGTATCTCCCCAACGTCATGGTAAGGGAACAACATTTTGCTGCTTTTGAGAGCCAGTTGGTTTGGAGTGAGAGGTGGGTGCAGAAAGGGGGATGCCAGCTGGCAACATGGCAGCTCTGAATTTATATTCCTTGTTCATCATGGTTTTGCCCTTGTTAAATGTTTGCCCTCATGTTCTGTTTCAAACAAATGCACCTCCCTCCAGTGCCCTCAGAAAGCATCAGTCTGTAAAATGAAACCTGGCCTTATTAATTCCTGATAAGTGAGAGTATAGTTGGCAATGACAATTTAATGACAGCAGAGAACACCAACCTTCCCATGTTACTAATCTGTTAACTCTTCTTTCCTCTTTTTGTGCCTCTTCTCTTCCCTTATCCGGGTGGATTTTCTCTGAAGCTGATGTGAAACCAAAAACCAGGCGTTTCACATGAAAAATATCCACATCCTCCAGGAAGATTATTTTGGGCCAGGAATTGAATGAACTAAACTTGGGATCTAGCCCAGGCCTATTAAAAATAGTTCAGCATGTAGCCCTGGGTGCCATGTGCCATTCTGCCATCTGTGTGGACAGACACATGGGCTTACCAATGAGCAAGCTTGCCGCAAAGTTAATGCCATAAATGACCAAAGTGCTTCCAGTTGCACCAATTGGCAGCTGGCACATGGAGGAGAGGTGGGGACCACTGAGCTGTGTCATGATTACATCCCAGCTAATGTCCTATTTCTCTTCTCCTTTCTCTTCCATAGTCCTCTCCCTCTCCCTCCTCCAACAAGCTCATATTGCATTTCACATTCCAAGAGCTTATGGAATGCATTAGCACCAGATAAAAGTACAACACGCCCTAATGTAGGCCCCTGACGTCAACCATCCCTGGAGTTTGGAGGGGAAGCTGTAAACAGAGGAATGAAAGGAGGTTATGAAAGACCATCTTTTTTTGGCTTCCATGTACAAGTCTCAAAAAACTAAGAAGAAGAAAGAGGAAGTGCTGAAAGTTGGGATTAACTGTGCAGAGGTGTCCACTGACTCTCAGAGAGAGGAATCTATCCAAAGAGAGAGAAAACAGCAGGAGACCAAGACTGAAAGCAGGTTTTATTTTTGGAGACTGCTTCCTCCCTCACCCCAGGCCACTCCTGATCCATAGGAAGGGGTGGAAACTAGTGTTTGATGTGCTATACAATATGCTACACAGCTGGGTTTTTCAGAGGCTCCTGGGGGCAATAAAAATGTCTGAGAACTACGTTTATGTAATTAGGATTTTGAGCAGATTACAGCAGGAAACAGCTTCAGGTTGACTGTGCTGTAGCTTTTTACCAGGCACAACTATGCTGGCCTGTCTATACATAGTGGGATTTCTAATGAGCCTCTTGGGAAGACCCCAGCACTTCTCCTGGCCTGTGCTGCTGCTGAAGCCCATGGATACTCTTATACGTGTCGCCTCCTCTTGCTGTACAAAACACTTTGAGATATCTTCTCAAACAAAGACTCAGGAGATAGAGAACTGGCTAAGTCCATTATAAGGACACAGTTGAGTAATGCCATTTACATTGAAAAAAAACTTGACTGGGACCCACTAACATTGAAACTCTGAGATAGATAGGAACTCTGTGTATGTGGACATAGATTATGTCTGCACTCAACCATATTACAACACAACAGCACTTCTGATTTTCAGTTTGAACCAATTCAACAACAACAAAACAACCTGGATTTAAAAAATGGAGTTTATCAATAACTATCAGGAAAAACCCCAGAAATTGTTATTCAGTTTGTATTGACTTCACCCTCTTATGACTATAATTTGTTTATATTGGCTTGTATCTAACATTAATTCAAGCTAGGTACTTTAAATTCTCCCCAAGTGGATTTCTATTCCATGTGCTATAGACAAGGAGAATTATACGTGTGTGGGTTTTTAAACCAGACTCTATTACAAACTGTGGACATAATTTGTTAAAGAGCTCCATAGTGCAAAGCCCCAGACAACTATGTCCACGATTATCAGGATTTTGCTGTGGAAGAAGACAAAGGAAAGCAGAAAGTACTAATGTGCAAGTACTATAGAGCTACAATACATACTATCAGGACAAAAAACGTTTACTAGATGTTTGCAGATGCTCAGCAAACCCATATAAAACCCAGCATCAAACCAGGCACATCTAGTGTTGCAACCCAGTTGTCAAGTACTGACTCTGTGACAAGGCTTAAAAGCAAACTGAGGAAGAAATGCATTTTAGCAAATACCCAGAAAAAAATCTTCTTGCTACAACTTATGAAAAGCAGAAGTCCTGAAAAAGCCTGATTTATACACATTTACAGAGGACTTGAAGATTTGCCAAAAAATGAACAAACATCTTGTTACACAACAGCTAAACTAGTGATTCTCAACCAGGGTGCCATGGCAGCCTGGGGTGCCTTGAGAGTTTTTCAAGGGCAGTGCCACACTGTGATTTGTTAGGTTTACAAACATAATTCACAAGATAAACCCTGAGTTTTCACATAGGACTCTACAGTGTTAAAAACATTCTGACCTGTTGTGGCCTTTCTGAGTTTTTCACAACAGAAATTTTTTTCTATTATTTTTCTGTAGTCAAAAAAAGAGTGAAAACTAAGAGCTGGCATTTTCTGAGGGGTGCCTTGAACTTACGGAGGACTACCTCAAGTCTATTAAGGGGTGCCTCGAGTCTAAAAAGTTTGAAAGCCACTGAACTAAACATTACAGTACAGATGGGACCTAATTATGGTTCTAGAACAAGGTCAAAGTCCTGGACAGTCCAAAGCTTTAGGATTACAGGGAAGATTGAGCCCTTTCTATACTATAACATTTAACTAAGTTCTTACCAGGTTAGAAAAAAATGATACCATATTTTTTTGTGTGGTTATAGAACCTGTGTTTTTAGATGTCAGATGCCAGGGACCACATCAACATGTAATCATCCTGTGGGAAAAGAATCTTTCTGTATGGCCTTTCCAATGGCCTCTGCATTGTCCAGGTCATATGATATTGGAAAGGAGTTGGCTAGTGGGGCTAGCCACTCACGCAGTGCAGACAGGTCCAGATCAGCATGGCAAACGGGATTAGATTAAAACCAGGGCTTTAGGAGAGGTAGCAGAGAGGAAGAGCATCAAGTAAGTGATGACCCAGCCTATCTGCCTCTGGCTGGCATCTCCTGGTGTTTGTTGGTTGAGGAAGGTCCGTGATTTAGGAATGAGAAGAGTATGAGGCCATGTAGGAGTGCACTCCATCCTTAATGATCTCTTAAGATCCCCTATCAGAGCCCTCAAGAGTCCTTCTGAACTCCCAGATTATCCTCTCCATTTCCCTAGTGGATTACTAAAATCCCTTCTGCACTCATACTCTCTATGGCTATACTGGTTCCTTGACGATCTCTTTATTTTACCCTGGGATACATCCCACACCCTTGAGACTCTGGATTCCCACAGAACTGTCTATACAGGATAAATGAGTTGGTCTAATAAAAGATATTGGATTTACCCAAAGAACCTTGATTGCCATTAGCAGGAGCTGGAATTTACCTGTGGGCTGCAACACATGTCTCATCTCACCCACTCATCCAAATGTGAGCAGCGTCAAGAGGGAAAGCCCAGTACTACTCAGTTCTCTGTCTAGCAGGAAATGCATGCAAATCTAAAATCTTGAGACAGCCATTCAGGAAACTCCCCATTTCATAGGGAGCTAATTCAGCAAGCTTCACAGGGATCTCAGACTAACCTCAGTCCCTCACACATGCAACAGACAGAGTTTGGGAAAGTGTGTAAGCCTGGCCTAGAGATCACCCAAAATGGGGCACAGACACAGAAGGAGCAAAAGTCTCACTAACCTCCTGTGAATATCTTCATCTCTATCCTGTCATGTCACACTTGCCAACTGGGCAGCTCTTGGAATGGATCCTGACCCACAGAACAGGTTCATCCTTGGAGGCAACAGGGCAGGCTTCTTTTTTTCCTTAAGATGAAAGAAAGCAAAGGCTCCTTCATTGCTTTGTTTTTAGTAAATAGTTTTATGAGGAAGGCACCTTCACAGTGCAAGCACTAAAGCTGTTAATTCAGGGCCTGCCTATGGGCCTTGGCTCCAAAACTACCCATTATACAAAGGTCTGTATTCCTGTGCTTCTAAGATGGACTTTACCCCACAGAGAAAACCATCTTTAACCCAGGGGTTAGTAACATTTTTGGGCAGAGTGACAAAAACACCCACAACCTGGACTTTGAAGGTGTTGGCATACCAGGAGCAGATGGCGGGGGAGCCACAAGGGGCCTGATCCTTATTATGGCAGCACAGCCCTGGACCCTTTCCTGCCACCCACCCCGAGGCATGCATTCCAAGCAAAATCTTTTGTATGCTATGCTTTGATACCTGTGCTGGGGGTTGCCTACCCCTCCTTTAACCTCTGTTGTTCCGCATACTCTGGGACTCCAGACAGACTCTTGCTGTTGTTTCTTGACACGTAAATGAGTATTGTCCCAAACCTCACCCTTTCTTCCACTATGTCCTTAATTTTATAAAACAAAGGTCTGGAATGGAGTTGCACTCCATATTGAGCCTTAGGTGGTATAACCTAGCATCTACTGAACTCCTAGCAGGAGTGCCAATTGGTAACAGCTGAGGTTTTGGCTTACGTGCCTCTGGCCTGAGGTCCCCCATGAACTGCCAGGTCTTTAGGACTTTTTCCCTTAGGACTGAATGTCCTTGATCCTGTTCTTGTGAATCAGTCTTTCAGCCTTTCATGCTCCAAATTTTAATTAACAAGAACCACCTGGTCCAGCTACCAGGCTGACTTTGCAAACAGCTCTGCATCTCTACAGTGTCCTGAAGCCCAACTTCAGTCACTGATTCATCAACACTGCAATAACTGTTTTGTCAGAAGTGTAACTAGGTGTGGGCAAGGAGGACACCAAGATAGAGGGGAGGAGGCCCAAGAATGGTGGCTGTCCTTATTGCTTGCCCAGCTGCCACCATTGCCATCCAGGGTAGATAAGCTTGTTATACCTCTGTCATGTTGAGGGGGTCTGGTTACCCCACAATCAAGTGAAAAAACAGTTTGATCGTGCAGGATAGATGGGACTAAACTGTATTTTAACCATATCCCTAACCTAGAGGGTTAGCTATAGCTTACTATATAGCTTGCTATTGCTATAGCTGTATAGATTTTAGTGGTCTGAAAACACAAAAAAATTGATTTAGTCCCAACTACACCATAACATCAAGCCATGTTTTAACCATGTTGAGGACAGCTCTCTTGTAATCAACTGATCCATCATGAGAGTTGTCACAAGCTCAATGGAATGGTAAGGAAATGTGTTTTAAACTAAGTGTATATGTGGCCACAGCCACATGAGCTTTTAACATGCTAGAACACAGCCCAGCAGATTACATCATTCTCATAGGACTACGTACAAAGAACCAGCCAAACTGGCTTTGCTTGGACTTTTTTAAACTCAATATAAAATGATTCGCAAACTCAGGCACCTACAGAAAAGACCTGCCCCACTCCTGAAGACAAACAGAGGATAGGACAGATGGTAACTGAAAGAACTAGATTTGCCTGATGTGTGATCATTATGTAATTTCCCTCTCCAGCAATTACCTGATGGCATAACAACTTGATGGCCTCTGCTGGGCTTGTCCCAAGGACAGCTTATGTAGGATAGTCCCTGAACTAATTCACTCAGCAACTTTCAGAAGTGCTGATTGCAAAAGGAAGGCAGGAGCTTTGTGACAGAGGAATTACCCCACATGCATCTAATCCAGGGCTCTTCAAGTAGTTATCACATGACAGTTAGGTATGCTGCGTATGTTGTTTGTGCACTGTGTTATACGTTTTTGTGAGTATATGCAGATTTTTTGCAATGTGTGCAACTGAGCGTAGGCATTACATGCTAGGGGCATATGTTGGTTGTGAAATTGTGTGCTTTCTGTCATGCTGTTGGTGGTGTGCTGTGTTCTTGTTGTTATACATAACCTCTGCTTACATATACATTTGAGCACCATCCTTCCATTATTACATCCAGGTCCTGCATACGTTTCCCTATATCTTAGTAAGGCCCCCCCCCTGAAGTACAGACAATAGCCATTGTTTGGTTTTGGGGTAGGTGAGCGTGCTCCCCTGCTTGGCAACCAACAAAGCCTGGAGCCAGCTCCTGCAAACACTAAACATGCCTTTTATCACTGACAAATTAGTTTGTCAGCAACAGGAAGTGATGTTACTGCCTTCCTCACAAAAGGGAAACTCCTAGTGGTTTCCATGGGGACATAGGCAACTGTGTAATTACAACTTTATATAATCTTAAAGGCACACGCTTCAGTTTTATGCCTTCCTCACTATGGAGGTAAAGGCCCTAAGCCACTTCAGCGTGTAGCCACAGACTGTCAAGGTCAGTGGAAGGTGGCTGTCAAAGCTACAGA